TTTTGAGATGGAGTCTCACTCTGTCACCCAGGCTGGAGTGCAGTGGCGCGATCTCTGCTCACTGAAAGCTCTGCCTCCTGGGTTCACGCCATTCTTCTGCCTCAGCCTCCTGAGTAGCTGGGACTCCAGGCGCCCACCACCACGCCCGGCTAATTTTTTTGTATTTTTAGTGAAGACGGGGTTTCACCATGTTAGTCAGGATGATCTTGATCTCCTGACCTTGTGATCCACCTGCCTCGGCCTCCCAAAGTGCTGGGATTACAGGCGTGAACTACCACACCTGGCCTCCATCCCCCAGACTTCTTAACAGGCTGACAGGATCCGCAGTGTGACAAAGGTGGAGGAGGAGGCTAGAGGGGCAATGTCAGTCATGTAACCTGGAGGGGTGATTTTGTGAGCTGTTGTGTATGTTTCAGACAATGCAGAAGAAAGGAAAGAGTTGAGGATCAAGAAAATCAGAATTAAATGTGATTGGGGAGATGTCTCAAAGTCAGAAAGGATTACTGGGGGCCTAAAGTTTTTCAGGGCCTTAGAAACTACTGAACTTGGCTGGGCACAGTGGCTCATGCCTGTAATCCCAGCACTTTGGGAGGCTGAGGCAGTCAGATCACTTGAGTCCAGGAGTTTGAGACCAGCCTGGTCAACATGCTAAAACCCCGTTTCTACTAAAAATACAAAAATTATCTGGGTGTGGTGGTGCACGCCTGTAATCCCAGCTACTTGGGAGGCTGAGGCAAGGGAAGCACTTGAACCTGGGGGACAGAGATTGCAGTGAGCCAAGATCACACTACTGTACTCCAGCCAGGGCAACAGAGCGAGACTGTCTCAAACAACAACAACAACAACAAAAGCAAAAAACTGAACTTAAGACACAGCTGGAATTTTACCATTTGTGAATATGTATTTTAAATGTTTTCAGCTTGTTTTTTTGTATTTTTTTTCCATTTTCCTTTAAAAGATACGCAGATAGGACTTTTTCCTCTTTAAGTGTCTTATTTTGGGAGCTTCCAGATTTCAGGGAAGAGCCCCACACCATATGAGTACACGAGTTGGACATTTCTGGTTCCCTGCCCTGAACTGGACATTGCCAGTCATGTCTGCAGAACTATCCTGCCTGTTGGAAGCTGCAGTTTTACTTTCTGGTTCTTGTCTGTTCATCCCCTACCATACTAAACCCCTAGAGTGTGGGAATGTGCACCATTCCGAACTATATTAACTCACTACCACCAGTCTGGTGTGGGTGCTCAGTACAAGTGAAACCTGAAAAAGCCTCAGGCTCTTGGATGGAGGAAAATTGGCTGCATTTGAAAGCCATACTTCAATTTCTATTGGTCATTGCTAATATAAACTTTAATTATTGATTTAAACATTTTATCTGGATCCAATTATGTCGATAAATTATTTTTAGGTTTAATAGTTTGTTAGATTCATTTCCCAGCTTTTCTAGGTTTATAATAAATAATTTATTTGTCTTTTAATTTGATGTCACTTATGTTATGCATTAGCAAGAACTTCGAAAAACATGGAACAGTAGATGTCTTTCTCTTAACTCTCGGGGGAATGTTTTTAGTCTTTTGCAATTTCATATGGTGTTCATTGTTGGATTCTGATGTTCGGTTGCATTTAGGAAGTTTCCTTCTAATCTTATTTCTAGAAGAAGCTGTGTAGTTTAGTGGTTAAGAGCATAGATTTTGTTCCCAGTGCCCTAGGTTCAAATCCTGAGTCCACCACTTTCTTAGGTGTGTGACCCTGGGCAAATCACTTAGCTTCCTTGTATCTTAGTTCCTCCATCTATAAAATGGAGCCACCTCACAGAGTTGTGAGGAATACATTATTGTAACAATGCTGGGCACACAGTGCACAGTTTCCCAATTATTATTATACTTAGAGTTTTGTTTTTGGTTTTTTTTTTTTTAGACAAGGTCTCCCTCTGTTGCTTAGGCTGGAGTGTAGTGATGTGACCATAGGTCACCTCAGCCTTGAACTCCTGGGCTCAAGGGATGCTCCTGCCTCAACCTCCCCTGTAGTTAGGAATACAGGCATGTGCCACCACGCCCAAGTTTTTATTTTTATTTTTTGTAGAGATAGGGTTTCGCTGTTTTGCTCAGGTTGGTCTTGTGGTCCTGGCCTCGAGCAATCATCCTGCCTTGGCTTCCCTAAATGCTGGGAATACAGGTGTGAGTCACTAGGCCTGGACTAAAAGTTTTTATTAGGATTGGTTACTATATTATATCAAGTTTAAAAACTCCATCGTTGTAATTTTATGAGTTACTTTTTTTTCTTTTTGTAATTCATTTTCTTGACAAGTTTGCAAATATTTGTAGTTTCCTTGTACTTTTCAAGTAAAATCTATTTGTTCATAGTGAGTTTTTATTAAGTACAGAAGTAGATTCAATTTGGTAATGCTTTGCTAGCTTTGCAAAAGAATTTGGAAAAAATGTTGGTTTAACTTATTACCATGTAGAGTTTGTGTAACATGGGAATTGTTCCTTGAAGACTTGCTAAAAGTAACTGGGCCTGGTTCTTTGGGTGAGGGGATTGGGAGGGATGTATCTTTAGCAACTCTTTTAGTCAGTTTGAGCTATTATAACAAAATACCTAGAGGGTGGCTTAAACAACAAACATTTATTCCTCACAGTTCTGTAGGCTTTAAAGTTCAACATCAAGATGCTAGAATGGTTGAGTGCTGGTGAGGGCTCTCTTCTCGTTTGCAGATGGCCCCCCTTTTTCCTGTGTCCTCAAATTTCAGAGAGCAAGAGCACTGGTGCCTCTTCCAAGTCTTTTAAGGGCATTAGTGAGAATGAGGGCCCCATTCTCATGACCTACTCCAATCCTAGTTATTTTCCAAAGGCCCCCTACCCCCAAATATAATATTTGGGGTTAGGGCTTCAACATAAATATTCATTCCGTAACATTCTACTCCTAGCCACTCACTCTATTCACGTCGTTACATACAAAAATAAGTTCATTCCATCCTAACAGCCTCCAAAGTTTTAACTCATTCTAGTATCAACTAACATTTAAAGTCCAAAGTCTCATCTAAATATCTAAATCAGGGCCTGTTGTGGTGGCTGACGCCTGTAA